ACAAAAGCTTTCAGGAGACAGGAACTTTGGATTTCTTGCATTGTCCTTACAGTCACAATTTCCACTCTGACGATGCAGACAGGTGCTGAGATAATTTGCAGACACAAAATAACTTCCTGTGCACTTCAACAATTTGAAGTGTTTTCTGTTCTGTGCAAGTTTCAGGATTGGTTCTGCCTTTCAATCATTTAGGCAGGTTCTTTGAAAAGAGGTCACTGAAACATCAGTCTGAGACCCCAGGTACAGTCACAGGCAGAGTCACAGAGCCCCAGGTACAGGCATGAGCCCAGCTCATACCAGGGGAATGGGGCACAAACCATCAGTAACTGTAGCTGCACTTGCAGGAGTTGAACAGCACCCTCACAGCCTGAAAATCCCAACTTTCACACCCTCACCAAATCTGTCAGTGTTACACCTGCCAGGATCCTTACCTGTCTACATATTTACTATACTAATTAGTCCTGTTCACAGTCAGAATGCTGCTTTTCAATCTTATTGTGTAATTTATATAATTGAAGATGAAAATACTGAATTCAGTATCATCTCATAGGAGTGTTGAACTAGTTACCTTTCTATTCAATCTACTGCATCCTGTTACTGTACACAAAGCCCTGCAATCACCTCCTCTGGCCCTATTTCACATGCTCTTACAGCCCATCTTATTTAAGAACCCAGAATTTATCTTGCATTTTCTCTTCAGTTACTCTCCCCCTACCCTTGAGTCTTTCCCTTCCAGTCCCAGAGAGCCCTGGGTGCTGGCAGCATTTCCTTTGAGATGAGGATGATGCTGTCCCTCCAAGGAGCCAGCGTGGGGCTGCAAAAGGCAGGTGCACTTGTATTGTGCAATTCTCCCACTGCCCTGTCCTGTGCTTTTCACAAGCATCCCGTGGAGTTTACAGGGATGTTACAGGGTTAGAAACAGGCCCTTTGAATGCACTGCACTAACCCCAAGCGTGCTCTCCTCTGGCAGGAGCATTGAGCCATGAGCACCAGCACTGTCACAGCCACACACGCTGTCTCAGACTTGGAAAAACTTAGATCTGGGCAAACCCTTTTACCACTCAGCCCTCCCTGGCTGCTGGCAAACACAGTGCCTCACAGCCCTGCAACAGAGCCACTAAACTGAACTGTGAGAGCAAAGTGGGTTAAGTGAGGTCGTTAAACCTTTCCCAGGGTGAGAGAAACACAATCCCCCAGGCCAGCATGGTTGGGTTTCACTCATTATAAAACCCAAATCTGCAGGCCAGCACTGTGGTGCAAGGTCTGTCCTGTAACTGCAGCCCAGCCAGTGCAGGAGCCTCTGAGGAACCCCTGGGTTCCTGCTAGATCACCTCTGACAGCTGAGCATTCCTGCAGGACACCTCGGTCTGTAGGATGGACACACACACAGTGGAGTCTCCTATGAACAGCCTTATTAAAATCATTAAAGTCAGCCCTTTCTTTTTATTCAAATAGTAATGGGGTGGGTGGGAAACCCACATCACCACCAACACAGGATTCCCCTCCCTCAGTGGCACAGATGGACCCCACATCCTAACATTCCTTCCAGGCCGAGGGTTGGGTTTTTTTCCTTGTTAATAATTTCTACCTGCTAATCGATCCACCTGTCTAATTGCCAGGTCCAGCCCTATGGCTTTTTTAGGTCCCAGGGACATTCGTTACCACTTCATCCTCTGGGTCAATAGCTGCTTTTGAAGACAGATGAGCATCTTCAATATGTGTTTAGGCTCCATTGCTTAAACCACCATGAACTCAAGATATCACATATATTCCAGTGCTTTACAGACAAATACGTACACATTAAGGCTCCATGAAAGAAGCTTTAGCAAGCTGTGCTTCCCAGGTGAGTGAAGGCAGCAGTGAGGCACGTTCCAAAGAGCCCGGAGAGGGGACAGCAGGGGACAGCGAGGTGCCACCTCCAGCCCATGCCTCCCCTGCAGGGCAGCAGGGACCCGCAGGCCTGCGGTGCAGTGCCACTGCCAGCCCCGGGCACCGCTGCCCTTGCCAGCAGCTCAGAGGAGCTCTGCCCTTCCCAGCACTGCAGAGTGCTCCGAGGGCAGCCCAGGAGCCACAGCTCCAGCTCCCAGCCCTGGAGCTGCCCAGACCGAGCCCTGGCCTTGGTGCAGCCATGCAGTGCTCCTGCAGCACTGCAGGTCTGTCCGGCAGCCTGGCGCAGCTGTGTGCCCACACTGCTCACTGGCCCTGCTCACAGGGAGCCGTGACAGTGCCACACACCCAGGGGACAAGGGGACAATGCAGCAGACACAGCGTGGCCAGCGGCTGCCAGGTAACCACAGCCTGTCCCTGGCACTGCAGCCCAGCCCCTTCCCACACCTGCCCGCCCATGAGCACCCAACAATTCTCTCTCAGGGCTGCGCTGCCTTGAAAAGGAAAGTATTGGCCTTGTTCTGCCAGCCAGACACAAAGTGCAAAGTCAGCAGCCTGAAAGGATCACTGAGAAGGCAGAGCAGGCAGGAGAACGTGACCTAACAGGGGAAGGAGGGTCCCTTCCTCCCAGCTACAGCTTCTGGGTCTCGACTCAACACCTTCAAACACAGACCTGTAGCACAATTCTCATAACAGCAACCACTGCACTTAACCAATCTTTTATTAACTTGATTATTGTGAATTATGTGCATTGTGGTATGACGGTAATCCTTAAAATCTGAGTGGTGACTGACAGAGAACTATCTGTACAAAAAGAACTCCAAAATACGTCTGGTGAGCACAGTCAAACTTTGGAGAGTGCAATGTGGAAACAAGCACTACAGGGGCACATGTGAAACCCTCTGTGGGCTGGGAAAACAGGAAAATAAAACTGCCTCAACAGAAGTGACTCTGATTTCCTCGATCTGTTGAAGTTCATTAGAGGATGTCAACAGGAAAAAAACCTCACTCCAAATCGAGCTGCAGTACTTTTGTTTCATATGTAATGATCAGGACGGAGAGCGTGTGCAAGTCCTTAGAGCTGGTGTGCGGAGTGGAGCAGGTTTGAAGGGAATAAAAAACGCACTGCCTTCTCGGAGCACACAGAGAGAGGCCACGGGCCAGAACGGCTTTTACAGCGCCCGGTCCCCTCCGGAACCACCGCCGGGGCGGCGGCCCGCCCGGCCCCGCTCCCGCCGGGCCTCGCCACCCCGGCCGGCGCGGCCGGGCCCGCCGGACCCGCGGCCCGACCCGGGGCCGGCTCCGGCTCCACCCCCGCCCCGCCGGGCCCCGCTCGGGCCGCGCCGCCGCCCCTCCCCCGGCCGCGGCCGCCCCTCCGCCCCGCCGTCCCCGGCGCGGCCCCGCGGAGCCCCGGGGCGAGGCGCGGCCCCGCGGAGCCCCGGGGCGAGGCGCGGCCCCGCGGAGCCCCGGGGCGAGGCGCGGCCCC